AAGATGTGATGGAGGGTTGGGTGCTCGGGAGGGCTGGGAGCAGGATGGCAGTGGCCTCTTGGCCTGAGGAGGAAAGAGTAATGGAGAAGCCTGTGAGGATGGAGAACAATGTTCAGGGACTGAGTGCCATGGAGGGCCTGCCAGCATCTGTGACTGTGAAGGGACACTGGGCAATCCAGCCAAGGTGGGATCGAGCCACCCTGCAGCTTGGATCCTGGCTACAGCAGTTGAGGGAGCTATAGGAGAGCTTGCTGAGATGGAAGGGCCAGTTGTTGATAAACAGCCTTAGAGGAGTTCAGTCATGACAGAGAAAGCCTGGCTGAAGGAGTTGAGTGTGCAGGGACAGATAGGACTGAGGCAAGGTGCTCATGGGGTGACAACCTGACAGTTGGGTGGGATGAACAGTCTGGTGAGTCATTGGGAAAACCCAGTCAACGCTAGGATAGTTTGCTGGGATGTTGTGTGCTCTGGGGTTTTCTGCCAGGGGTTGGGGAGATGAGGGACAGTCTGGGCTGAAAAGAATACGCTGTGGGAAGGGTTAGAACTGGAGTTTTGCTGGTGATGAGAGAGAGCACCCAGGGAGGAAAGAAGTGTTCAAGGGGAGAAATGAATTGTTTGACAGGGAGCAATGTGGACTGAAGGGAGAAACCTGTGTCTTGGGTGCTGTGAAGGATCTGGTTAGGATGGAGGGCAATACTGGGAGACTGGTGGGGTGGTGAGGGTGTAGTGTAGTCTGCATCGAGGTTGGAGTAAAGTTGGATGGTGGACTGGGGTGTTGGAAACAACTTGGGTTTGGATGCCGGGGTAGTTGGGGTGGGACAAGTGGGACGCTGGCAGAGTCCAGCCAGGACTGGAAAGGAGGTCTGGGGCTGCTGAGTGAGGGGTGGTAAGAGAGAGCTGCAGGAGACAGGGGAGCTGCTGCTGGGGATGCAGCGTGTGCAGGCAGCACTGGCAGAAGGAAATAGCAGTGGGGAAAGAGCTTCCCCAAGGGCAAAGCCCTGTTCTGTCCAGGAGCCCTATAGACACAAGATGGGTTCATGCAAGTGGACAGCATGGGAGGAGGTGTGAGTGAGAGGAGCAAAAGCAGCTCCTCATCTTCACTGGGTTAATTCTGGCTACATCACCACATGCTGGGCCACAGAGAAAGAGATTGAGATAAGGTCTGTGGGATCTGCTCTATTTTAGATCAGTTGATGATGGAGCATGTCACACCAGACACCAAAACCATCACAGAATGGACATCTGCTGTAAAGATGAGGGCAGCTGCCTCCAGCAGTGCAGTGCTTTGTGGGACACATTTGGCCTGCAGCTGCTGCTAGCCAAATCTGCTCTCTGCCTTCTGATGTCCCGATGAGCTGGTGTTGTCCGGGATCTGGCTGCTGTGATCTGAGTGCTTTCTGTGTGGAGAGGGCAGACTGGGTGTTTTCCAGTTTTCGTGTTATTTGGTACAACATTTTGCTGCCTCTTTGTCTGTTTTCCATTTCTGGGGGTTGTTTTTTGAACTGCAGCCTCTCAGGCAGGGTGGGTGGTGCTTTGCTGTGCCTGGTGGACTCTCTGGGCTGGGCAGAGGACCGCAGAGCTCTGTACTCTCTAGATTATCAACTTTCACTAAAACCGGGTAATCCTTAGTGGTAGAAATTTTCTGAAACACCTGCAAATATATCCAAAGCAGCTATGGCAGCCTGGGGGTGTAGGTCAGCAGTGAGAAATGATCCAGACAGCTTGATGTAACAGTTTACTGCTTGTTATCTGAGCCATGGTAGCTGCCTGTTTCTGGGCTGTCCTGATGGCACTGGGAAGTGCTTCAGCCCCCTCAGTGACTGCTTGCTCTAACTCACCTGGTGCTAAGGGGGTTAGTGCTGAGCTTTAAATTATTTCACTGTTCATCCAAGTGAGTAAGTACAGAGGGGAAATGTCTCCTCCTGCAGAGCATACCAGCATTTCTCACAGCTGTGGGGCAGGGGTGGTAGTAGGTCATAGGTGTAGCACGGAGGGAAAGATGAGCCATGAAACTGCGTAGCATGAGGGACGTGAAGCGCTGAAGTCTTTGGCGCCGTGAAGCAGCATCTGTGGTGGGCGCGTGGCGAGGGCGAGGGGAAGCTGCTGCATGGAAGGATACACAGCTTTCCAGAGTGGAGGAAATGTGTGTGAGGCAGAGCTTGTGCTTCCCCCGGCCCTGTAATAACCAGCCTTGCTGGGAGAGATGGTATGTTACTGATAGATAGTGGGGCCAGAGGGTGCTCAGTGTTTCTCTAAAACGGTTGATTGAAGATGACATCATTGTGTCAAAACCGGGGTTCTCAAAGCATCTCCCTGCTCTACAGTTGAGGAAACTGAGTCATGCAGGGTCTAGCTGACACTCCGCGTGTCTGGTGGAGAGGATGAGATACCAGCATAGCTAAATGCATAGTCAGGCATCTTTCTCCTGGTCTTGAGCTCATATTTCTAGCAAAACCGGCATCTATCTGTTGCCTGCTGTAGGTGTACCTAATACCCGGGATTTTTCCTTTGTCCCTCACTGTTTGGCAGCAAGGCTCTATTTAAAATGGTGCCACTAGGGGAAAAAAAATTGAAAAAAATAGCTTTCAAGATCTTTAGTAGTGCTGTGCTGCTTTAGTTTCCCAGTACGGTTCCATGTCATGTTTTTTGGTTTATTTTACTGATTGCTGTGGTGTTGGTACGAGAAACTACCTGCAGATAGGACAATATACCAGCCACTGGCCAAGACTTTCGAGTTCTGAAACCAGGCAAAGACTGCTGACATTGTCCAGTGCTGGTCACAGCCCTTCTCTGCGCAGGGTGTAATGCTTCCTTCAAACTTGCTGAACCCAAAGGAGTTTTATTTTAACTATGAAACAAGGATTTATGATGGTACTGGTTAATACACTGAACCAGAAAGTGCTGTGTGACCTCTTTGACAGAAAACTATGTTAGTAGCTTTGAGCTGGAAAAAGTCTGTAGGTGACTTGACTCCATGCAATTTTGGATTTCACTGCAGGAAAGAAAGTCTGCATTGAATGACACCATATGGTGGAGACAGGCAGCAAGCAAATGATTTTTTTGGGAGTTTTGCCAGAATAAGAAGTATTGAATAAACTATGCTCAATAGATTAATTTACTTCGGTTGTATTTTGAAAAAGACTGGGTGATTTTATGACCATTAGTGACATTTACAGTTCTGCAGCCGAAGATAAAGGTAATCAAACGTCATTCTTCAGGGCACCAGCTAATCAGTGCAGTTGTCAGGAAGGACGCCCCTCCTCCAGCTCTGCGTGCGCAGGATTGCGCCCTGGATGACAAGTGCGGCCTCCAATATCCACTGCTGAAGGAAGGGTATTTGACTCAACTCAGCCCCTCATCCTCCCCCTTGTCAGCTTCTCCTGCCTGACTTTCTGAAACCATCACATGCACCCTCTGTCTTTCATTTGCTCTCTAAAAATGCTGGACTACTCCAGTATTGCTTAATTACAAGTCAGTTGTGGGCCATTGCGGCGCTGGGCGCTGTGCGGGCAGCACGCAGAGATGTTCCCCGTGCTGTGTTATAAGGTCTGTCTGAGGTGAGAGATAACTGAGCGATACGAGCAGGAAGAGCCCAAGACAGGCTTGAACTTGGCATGCTCACTGCCTAAACCTCATCAAGGATTGTAGGTGTGTCAGAGATGGAATTAGCAGGAGCATCACGGGGTGGTTTTATGGAAATTTAGGGAAGTTTCTCCCACGGTTGTAGGAAAGGCAGAAAGGTTTGAGAACAGAGCTCGGCAGTGCTGAGGCATCACGAGCTGTGGGGAGACAGGAGCTGTCACCTCCACAGCAAAAGTGCTTGGCTGGGAAGGGTCTTGAGGGTGAAGACAAGTGACTTGTGGTTGCAGCAGTGGGGAAGAGGACCTCTGTGCAGGGGTGTGGAGATGGGGAGATGTGGTGGCAGCGGCAGGCTGAGGTGCTGAGCTTTGTGGCTGTATTGCATCTCGGTGAATTGATTTGATTCTAGCTAAATATCCACATCCAGTGGGTAAGCAATTGGTGGTGACTGAGGGTGGTTTTATTTTAAATTCATTATCTGAGCTTTGTGGCTGATAAAGTTAAACAGAATACATTTACTTCTCTTTCCTAATAGGAATCAACTGTGCTCTGTGGCGGCTTGTGGGCCATGCTTTCTTTATCCATGCCCTGTGTAACCAGCCCTCAGTACAAGGGGAAATCGTTCTTTCCATTATGGCTTTATATCGCCAATCTGATACGATATTTAAAGAGATTATGTCAATGCTCTGTTTGTCCCAGACCAATTTTTGCTTTGGCCTATAAAGTGAATCTTCCTTTCAGCGGCTTCTGTGGTACAGGATGTAGTTACATGCATCAACTAGTTCAAAAGACCCATATACAGCATGGATTTAAAGCTGAATAAACCCACAAAACCCTTAGCTCGGACTATAAATGTCACTGTATTTTTATATATGTCTGTATTTTTTTTTTTAAGAGAACAGGATTACTGCATGCAGCTATAACTGAAAGTCCTTTGATAATTCAGTGGGTATTTTAAACCTAGCAATGATACACTTTCATAAAACCACACATCCCTGTTTTCTGAAGGATGCTAATAAGATGGTTAGCTTTGCTTTCATGCTCGATGTGTTTATGAGTGCTCCTGCCCATTTAGCTGCATCTCTGAATTTAATGCCCCACTCTGATTTCATTGTAATTGTCAGTAGTCTTTTTTTTTTTTCCCTTTTTGTATGTCCCCGCTCACTGTCTGGAAAATGGAGTCTCCTCATTGCTGACCCCATCAGTCTGTCTCCTCATGGTGCTTGTAAAGAAAACCCTCTCCACCAAGGACAAAGATGTTTTTAAACAAGCCAATCTGATATAAAACATAGTTTGCTTAACCCAGAGGTGACCAAGAAGCGATTGCTGGCTGGCTGTGCCCAGCCTTGAGCTGCTGTGTATGGCTGCCCTTCTCAAAGGCTGCACGCGCTGCCACGCTGTGCACTTCATTATCTGAGCAGCATCTGCAGTTCCCCTCTCTGTTACAGATGCCGCAGTCTGCTTAGTTTTGTGCAAATGACACGCTGCCCTTATAGTCCTCGGAGTCGTCTCTGCAGCCCCTCAGCCAGCTAACGTCTCCCCCGTCCTGCTCCTCACCCCGGACACCCCAGTGAGCCAGTGCCGCTGGCCTGGCTGCCGTGCAGGCATCCTGGGCATCCTCCCTCCTTGCTGCAGGTTAAGTCCCAGCATCAAGATATTTGTTTGCTGCCCCTCTTCAAAGGCCTGCTCCTCTCCTGTTGCTTCTGGGCATCCTCTCGGCACCAAATCTTCCCATTTCATGGCTTTCTACCTGACATCTCCCATCAATAACAAGGGGTTGCTTTCTGACCCTCATCAGCCCGAGTTAGTTTCAGCATTGTGTTTGCAAGCAGAGAAGTGCTCGTCCATCAGAGTGCATGCATAAGGGTTGCTTGTCCCACATAGTGGTGGCACGCAGCAGGGAACTCGGCTGAGTTATTTTTTCCAGTCTACTAAGCTGTCAGGAAATGCTTTCTCGTCTTCCTAGCCAGTGTGCTCGTAAGACCAATTAAAAAAATAAAGAAAATGTTAGAAACCCATCTGTGCATGGCTTTCCTTAATCTTCACAGACTAGAAGGAGAATGCTGGGTGCAAGTTTTAAGTAATATTTGTAAAATAGTAACAATCATAGTAACCAGTACTATTTTTTGTCTCTTGATTTAAGTTGTGTGTACAGACCGTGTAACCTATGCCGGCAACTACTGAAATAAAGTCCACTTCTCTGTGTTGGCTTGCTTGTGTTCCAGCCTTTTAAATCAGCTTACTTTATACCTTAGAGAATACTTTTATTTCTATATATATCCTCTCTTCTATTGGCTACCCCAGATAATCCTGTGATCAGCCATGCAGCAGTGTCACTTGAGTAGAATATGGAACGATGCTGATCGTTTTCTCGTAGGCTGTCATACTGGTCCAGAAATAGCATCTGTCTACAATGGGAGAAGCTCTATTAACATTTACAACTGTTCCTCTTCCCGACCCCTGAGAATTGCTCCGTGGTAGATAAGCAATATTTTGTAATACATTTCTTTGCACTCAGTATTTTGGAGTTGAATTCTGAAATATAAAGGCTCCTAATCCTGATCTGCTCTGGGATACGCTGCTCTGCTCTGAGCAAGTGGTGCTGTGAATAGGATTAGCATTTCAACAGCTTCTTTTTTTAACTGTGAGCAATAAACTAAAATAATAGGGCCTGATTCAGAGCTCTCTGAAGTCGGCAGTACTACTTTGGCTGGTGTGTGTTGGCTTTGGGTCAGGCCCATAAGAATGGAAAATGCAGTGTTTCCCTAGAAAGGAGGGAGAACGTGTGAATTTTAGAGTTCCTGCTCCTGTGGGGTCTGTCCACACCGAGTTGAAATTCATGGGTTTACAAGCCAACAAACACAACTGTAAATTTGACTGCAGGTGAAAAGAAAATGTGTGTTGCTAGTCATGCAGTTAAACTTGTGCTTTTTAATGATGTCAAGGGCACTTAGGACATGTGTGTAAACAAGTGAGCATTAGGGGTATTTCTGTTGCTGTTCCTTTTCCTCCCTCAGACGTGTGGCAGTACGAGCTGTCACCCGGGCAGAACATGGGCCGGGCGCTGCGGCCGGGGAGATGAGCTGTTGGGCTGGGAGGGCTTGCAGCCACTGCCTGCACTGATCACAGCCCTTCAAATTCATTAGCTACGGGCCCATGAGCAGGAGCCAGCTGTGAACATCTGGCCCTTGGGGCTCAGCACGGGGTGTTACAAGGCTCTACGCTTTGAGTAAAAGCAGTTTGGGGATGTACTGTGCCTGTGCCGTGCAGGCATGGCACCCTCTACCAACCAGAGCCCGTTCCTGATTAACAGCTCTCGAGTGGGGCCTGGTTTCCCGGTTTTTCACCAGCCTGTTTATGATAGATAGATGTGATGATACCCTGGGCCTGCTCACTGGGCTGCAGGACTGCAGCTCTGCTGTTCCTTGTGTGAGCTCTGAGTTTCTGAACCTCACCTTTCCATAGCGCTTTTTGAAAGCACAGCAACAGTGGCCGTCCTGCAACTTTCTACAGATATCCTTGAAGGACATCATAGAATCACAGAATGGTTTGGTTTGGAAGGGACCTTAAAGACCATCCAGTTCCAACCCCCCTGCCATCAGCAGGGACACCTTCCACTAGACCAGGTTGCTCAAAGCCTCATCCAGCCTGGCCCTGAACACTTCCAGGGAGGGGGCATCCACAACTTCCTTGGGCAACCTGTGCCAGTGTCTGACCACCCTCACAGTGAAGAACTTCTTCCTAATATCTAATCTAAACCTCCCCTCTTTCAGCTTAAACCCATTTCCCCTTGTTTTGTCATTAGTTGCCCTTATGAAAAGTCCTTCCCCAGCTTTCTTGTAGGCCCCTTGAGGTATTGGAAGGCCTTGAAGGATATCTGTACCCAATTTTACCAAGTTCTTTCTCTTCTCCCTGTTTCTTACATGTTGTGCATGTATTTTGAGCTGTGTCTGGTAGTTAAATGGAAAACCAATAAATTGCTTGCAAATCGAAAACGCTGAGAGGGGTGGATCGAATCTCACATGCATTTGGATCTCGGTGTGTTTTCCTCCTGCCTTACTGAAGGCTTTGGCATCGTGACCTACAGTACCGTGTCTTTTCCCAAACTGTCCCCACCTCAGAGTGCTGGGGTGAGCGGTCAAAAGCGGCGATTTCCACGTAGCTGAGGTGGGGCTCTCCGGGAGTCAGCAGAAGGGCACTGCTACAGGCGGGGGACACGTTGCAGCGGTGACGGTTGTACCGCGTCCTGCAGCTCTTTATCTTCAGGACAGGTTTCTGATTGCCGTGATCTGGAGGGGATCGGGAGCAACCTTCACGGCTCAAATAGTCCTTGACTCCCAGCCGGAATATTTAGAGGGTGTAGTTCCTCATAGCAACAAAGCAGTTAATGACATTTAACTGATTCACCCTTGCAGGTCGACAAGAAGCATTGTCTCCATTTTGCAAATGGGAGAACAAAAAAGCTTGAGAGACGGGCCCCTGTGGGCCCAGGTTTGTGCTGGTGGTTGAACTTTGTTCCCAGCTCTGGGTCTTAGTGGGCTGGAGAGAAACACCTCACGGTTGCCCTTTAGGACATGGGAATTGTCTGGGAGACACCAAGCAGGAGTCCTGAGGGCTCCGGAAATGGCTGTAGGTGTATTCTTCTCCTGGATTTGCTCAGGCAAATTAGCTGCAAGAGCATCTATGTCCCCAGGCTGGGTCTCAGCGTGGTGTGTGCTGCTCAGGCTCCGAGGTGAGGTCCCTGCCAAGCAGAGGGGTGCAGAGCAGCTCAGCAACGTGTCCAAGGACACCCAGGCAGTCGTGGACTCACAGCCTGCTCCTGTGGCCCTGGCTGCAACTGCCCCTCTCCTGTGGCACCAGGCTGGGCAGCGAGGAGCAGGTGGAAGTGGGATGATTTGCATCTCAGTTACGTGCCAGGATCCCGAATATCTTTCCAGCCATTTCAGAGAGGTGCAGGTCTCTGAGCGGTGGCACTGACAACAGCTTGGGTGTGCTGCTGTAACGTGTGCGGCTGTAAATGAGCTGACCTGCATATTCTTTTTCCTAATCCTGAGTGATACTGTCAGCTCAGAGAGCTGAGCCTGGCTAATGACTGAAATCCACTGTGCTTTTCTTAGCAAGGATGTGTGGTGATCTCAGATAGTTGTTAAGTGCTACGTCCTGAGAAGCAGAACTGCACGTGCCCCATGGGTCCAGCATGTTTCAGACAGATAAACGGGGTTTGAGATGATCAGGGAGTTACTATGAAAAGAACTGATGTCAGGTACACAGTAACCTGCAGTTAACTAGGAGGGAGATTAAATTAATGGGGTTTTCCCTCTGATAAAGATAATTAAGAGCTCGCAAGGACTTGGTTTGCAGCTCCTACACAGGATATCCATAGGCACTGTCTTCCTGGCATTGGGAATACTAAACAGCTGTGTGACCAGAGCAATGCAGCCAGTGGTGCAACCCACTGAGCGACGTTTGTGGTGTCTGAGACCTTGTCACTACTCTGAGATGAAGGGAAATTGGGGCATGGGGAAGGAGTAGAAGAGGAAACGGGAGCAGGGACTGCAGGGAGGAGTTCAAGGTGTCCTGGGATCCACTGCCATACAGAATGTGTTTCAAGGGAGGAGGGCATGGCATGGTGGGGGGAGAGACTCAGAGGGAGGAATAACAGCTACAATCTCTCTTGCGGATTTAGGGTTTGCTGTCAATCCTGCGTAAACTGAAAAGCACCCCAGACCAGGAGGTGAGAATCCTCCTCTTGGGACTGGATAATGCAGGCAAGACCACACTCCTGAAACAGTTGGCATCTGAGGACATCAGCCACATCACACCAACACAGGTGAGGAAGACCTTTCCCTGCCCAAGGCACTTCTTGTGGTCCCACCTGCCTTATTGTAGAGCACTAATGATTTGGGAGAGTGTGTCAGTAAAAGGGCAGCCTGGTGCACCATTAAGTTTGTGTGTTATCTGCACAAGAGGAGGCTCCCTGAAGGAGCCAGAGAGCATCAGGCCAGATCTGTCAGGTAGCCCAAAACTGGATAGGCACTGTGGAGTTCTGCAGAAGGCTTTTGGGTCATGCAAGGGTTGCATGGATGAGACTTTGTTCCTGTTGTCCTTGCCCAAACGGGAGACCTGTACAGGGGATGGTGCAGCAGGTGCAGCATTGCGCAAGCCTCTGTCTCCTTGTCTGTCACCCAGCTTGCTCCAAGGGTCCTTCACATTCTAGCACTTCCTCTCTGATGCCTCTGGTCCCCTTTCTTTGAGCCTCAGGGTTGGGGAGAAGGATGTCTCCCATCAGAAGCACTGCAGCATTGCTCTTGTGTTGACCAGAGGAGGTTGCTAGAGAGCTTTGGGAGATGCTTCCCCCCACCCCGTAGCTGCCTCCCAAAGCTCCCAGCCCCGACACCCCTGTTCCAAGCCCCAGGTCCCTGGATGGCGTGGCAGCACGTTGCCAGCCCACGCCACATCCTGTTTTTCTACTTGAATGCCCTTTCAATTGGTGCTCTAATTGATGAAATGGACCCTTCAGATGTGCAGCTGTTGCTCTTTTAAGCCCGCATTAGCTGTGTCGTGTCAAATTGAGCTGAGACCTCTGGCTTCGTGTTAGCTGGGACTCTGCTCAGCTTTCACAAACTCAGTCCCGCTTCTCACAGTGCCCTTGTTTTCTCCTTATCTGCAGCTCTCCCACCTCTTCCTGCACCCACCCTGCTGAGCCTTCGCAGGGCACTAACTGCATCATATGTCTCCATAGCCATGACAGCATCAACCCTTGACCCAAGAACACTGGCAAACTGATGGTTTGGCAGCTGTGTTCACTTTTGCCGGTGCCTCTCCCACAGCCACAGCTGATCCATCTTCGTGGCTGCCCAGCCCATCTCGCTGCACGTTGCAGGCTTGGGATATATAAGGTGTTAACGTCTGCCTGTGAACGTGCTCCAGCCATTCAGGTTTATGCTCTATGAGGCTTTGTTTCTGCTCTTTCCAGGGCTTTAACATTAAAAGCGTACAGTCTCAAGGCTTCAAGCTGAACGTATGGGACATAGGCGGACAGAGGAAGATCAGGCCGTACTGGAGGAACTATTTTGAAAACACTGATATCCTTGTGAGTATTGGCTGCAGTTGAATGCTGTGTTCATGCAATGGCTTTCCATGGTCTCAGCCAGAAATTCAGGAACAAGTAATGTAATGTCCCAGTCCTCAGCAACACCATTGCCATTGTAACAGGAGTTATTCTAGTGAAATGGCAAGATTGGTTGGGTGCAGTAAGAAAAATACGGTGATGTTTGGAGAAATCATTCTGTTGTATGTTTTTGCTTTCACAGCATGGTGCTGGTTATAGCCAGTTCCTTTCCTCTCATCTCAGTCTCCTTCAACTGAAAGACCATTAGTAACTTGTAGTTTACCCATCTATAGCTCCTTTCACTGGGGACTCTGGAGGCCTGTCATGGATATTAGTGACTTAGGCCTCATGTGTAGAGGTAGGTCCATATGGTGCCTTTGTTTTATAGTTGGAGAAACTGAGGCACAGCAGAATTAAATGCTGTGTCTGGCATCATTCTGGTGGAGGGACACAGAGAGACCCCTTGTCTTTTCCCTTGGTCCTTTAATCATAAGACTGTCCTTTAATGTTTTTGACATCTTAGCTGCAATGACCTCGCAATTAGCTATAGATGATGACAGTTATATTTACAGTGCAGGACCTTTGTGTTTCCATGGCAGAGCATGATACCCTGGGACTCTCCCAAGTGCTGTCCTGACTAGTTTCAAAGAGCTCTCTGAGGTGCAGCCATGTGTGCCAGGCTGAAGGCAGGCTGGGGGCTCCACGCATCTCCCCATCCCAAGCAACGTTGCCTGTGGAAGCAGAGAAAAGGCTTTCCTAAGCAAGGTCTGCAGGGCTCCTGTGGGAAAGCAGGAAGCTCTCTTGGAAAGATGCTCTTCTTCCCCCCTATAACACACATACTCACTAATGTGTTGGGAGCTTCAGTGCACTTCCAGAGAAGGATCAGTGCCACTAGGAACAGGACTCTGCTCCAAGGCTCATGTCAGGGTCCTGAAGGGCCTGGCTGCACCTGCAGGTTTAGAAAGCATTGTCCAAATGAAACTGTTATTTAACTGTGACTAGTAAACCCTCAGTAATCTCTTGTGCACATCCCCCTTTTCAGCCTTGATTTGGAATCTGACATTTGAGGGCAGCCACCACAGCATAAACCCAGTTAGTTGCTTTTGCAGAGGGTAACAGTGAGATCTTCCTAGGGGAAAGGCCTGGGTTTGAGAAACCAGCAGGACACACTTTGCATGCTGCTCTGTGGCCACCAGGAAGGTGATGGCTGTGAGGTGGTTGTGCCCATTGAGTCCAAGCTCTGCAGCTTTGTGTGGTGGGGAGGCGGTAGGCGTGCAGATCGAAGTGAACACTGCAGAGCAGCAGCTAGGGGATCTTTGCCTGCTGTGGCAGGTGCTCAGGCTGCAGAGGCAACCACAAAACAGTATCTGGAAGACACTGCTGGCAGAGGCAATGAGCTACACAGGCCTTTGAGCTTCCCCCCTTCCCAGTGTGTACTGCATGGGAGGTGCAGAAATAAAGGTGAATTTGAAGGCTGAAGAAGATTAAAGCAGTTGTTTTCCCTGCCCTGCTCACACCTCAGTTGTACAATGTACAGAGAAAACCTTATTTTTCATACGAGTAAGGAAACGGGGAGATAGAAGCAGAGTCAGTTTGGGGTAAGTGACGGTGTGAATTCAGAGGGAATAACTGGTGCACACAGGGACCTGAACTCCCCTGCAAGCACTCTGTGCTGCCACCCAGTCCCAAACTGGGAGCTGTTGGCATGTTAGTGCAATGCTTTGCTATGTCCCTACACACCAAAACTGCAATCGAGTATCTGCTGGTGACTCTCTGTCTCTCTCTTCTGCCAGCCCTCACCCCCAATTTAGCCGGTAATTTTACCCTCTGACTAACCTGGTGCAGGTTGTGCCTCTAAACTGAGCCAACTTCTCTCTCTTGTTATTTCTTCATCCAGTCTCACCACTGGGAATTTTTTCCCAACCCACTTACTCCGGGTTTTGTTTTGGCCTATTGCTCAAATGAGGCACCCAGCTCTAAGGGAATTTCTTTCTAAAGCTCCATTTCTCCAACACGGTGCACTTGGTGGCTGTTCAGACTGGCAAACTGCGTAACCGAGCACCAAGCCAGAAAGAGGTTTTTGTGTGGCCCTGGCCATAGAAGGAAGGTGTAGATGAGATACGCTACAGTTCCCAGGACCCTCTGCTTCTATATTCTCCTGAACTATATTGCACAAAGCAGAAAGGACCCTCTAAAGGGTATTAAAAAGCAGGAAGTGATTGCAAATTCAGATCCATGCAGGTGCCTTTAAATGAGAGCTCGGTCTTGCATCACACACCTGTGATATTTGGAAGCTTAACCCAGGCAAATAAGGTGTGGATATCTGGCTGATTGCATATTCAGACAGGCACCTGCAGCTATTTGGCACAGTGCTTTCTGGTTTGGAAGTAGGCACTCCACACATACTTTACCTTCTCTGTGCTGTGCTTTTGTGGCTTTTGCCCCAAGCGCTGTTGTCTCCAATTCTCATCTTGCAAAACAGCTCCCTAGCAAGGAACGGAGCAGTGCCGGGGACAGCCTGGCTGGTTGGGACTGGGAGCTCTTCCTTGCCAGTTAGAGAAGCACCGTAAGATGGGAGGTGCTGCCTTTCAGTTGAGAAGTAGCACTCAACTATTGTGTTTGTGTGTTGCTGAGCTTCCCCTGAGATGTCCCAGAGGAGGACAGATGACAGTCTGCTTTCACCCCAGAGCACAACTGCCAGCCCTGAAGCTTCTTCCTTTCCTTTGGTCTGTGTTTCCTGCTCCAAATGGCACGCGCAGGGGTGGGTGCTTGGGAGAGGCAGAGGGGACAGACGTAGCTGATGCAGCGCTGGTGCAGGTGCTTGGGATCACGTTGTGGGGAGAGGCTGTGTGTCATGCTGTGCCCACAGGCCTTTCCCCATCCTGTGGCACCAAGTGCGTGAGCTGCTGACGTGTCCCCACGCAGCTGCGTCCAGCCCTGCCGCGTGTCCCCCAGCCTCTGTCAGTGCGCATCAGCCTGGCCCCAGGAGGACCGAAGGCCCCAAGTGATCAGCAGAGAGGTTGCTGGGTTTCCTCCTCAGGCCTGGCATACATGTTTTCCTGCTGCGTGGTTGGTCCCATTTCAAACAACTCTAACACTGCTCGTTAAGGGAGTGACTGCAGTTAAATAGATATTGCTGCTAGAGATCTTCCCTCCCCCTACTATTTGGTTGAAATTATCCTGGAAGCATGGAGTCTTATGCTGAGACTGCCTGTAAGGATGCCATTTATCTTGATGGGGTGCTGTGCTCATCTATTCCCTGAAAACCAGGCTGACACTTATTCCCTGTAAGCCACCAAAGAGCATGCAGATGACATGCTAGCAGCTTCAGTCACCACTGATGGAGAATGGCAGGGACTGGAAGCAAAATGCTCAATGTTTGTCACCACTCCTGTCCCTGTCTGCTGTCCCAGCGCCCTTCTCCTTCAAAAACCTTCCCATACCAAGTAATGAAAAAGAGATACCAGGCTATTTTTGCCTGAGTGTTATACTGAGGTTCCCAATTTCTTCAGATGTAGCTTGATACTTCTGCACTCTGAACTGCAATAGCATTGCTAGGGAGAAGGAGGGTGGCTGGACTTAGTAATTACATATTTAGGGGGACCTTTGAGGACCTGTGCACACCTGGAGCTGCCTTTGCTGAGAAGGCTCATTTGCATTTACAGAAATAAATCAGCACTGCCATGCTGCTTGGAGAGGGGTGAGACCCCCTCCCAAAGCAAGAAGGCTGTGGGCTGGGGGATCCACCCTTTTTCATACCAGGGGACAGGTGTCTGGCTGGGACCTCTTCATGGACCATGAGATGATGTGCCCAGCCCTGAGAGGTTGGCAGGACTCTGCTGTCAGTCTTTGTGAGCCAGCTGTTCCTTGTCTTCTCCATCATCCTGGTGGACAAGCTGGCAGCTGAAGATGGAGTCTTGTAGGCTGCATCCAGCCCTCCTCTCCAACTACCCGCTCCAGGAGGTTGCAGTAGGATCACCTGGTGGAGAAGAACTCAATGTACCCAATATATTAATCTATCCTTAGTGCCATTGTGTGCCTTGGTGGCTTATTGAGGAGGTGATGAGTCCTGCTAGAGGGCAGCATGGCATAATCACACCAGTGCAGTGCTTGTACGCTGTTTGCTAGGGTGAAAGACCATGTCTCGCTCCCCAGGTTTTGCCCTCCTGTGCTCAGCTTCATCTTGTGAGTCAGTCATTTGAAAATATACCAGGCAGTTTCCTGTTCTCTTCAGATAATAGATGCTGTAGAGACAGTGAGAGCATCCCTGGTACTGCTCCCAGCTCCCTTCTGATCCTATGCATGTGGCTGTCCACCCCCCCCCCAGCTTTGAAAGAGGTGGTTCCTCTCCTTTCAGAATGTAATGAAGTTTTGTCAACATTTGCTATAAATAATACTAGGGATCTTTGTGCCCAAAAGCATAATTATTAGGCTCACTTGCTGTGATACTGTGGAAGAGTAACTTCTGGGAAGAGTAACTTTTCCTCTCCTTTCTTTTTCAGATCTATGTCATTGACAGTGCAGATAGGAAGAGGTTTGAAGAAACGGGTCAGGTAAGTTACTTATGCCCAGCTTCCTTTGAAGTAACTCGGTGCTTCTGAGTGCCCCTCGCTCACAAAAGTTAGGAAGATGATTTTGTTGTTTATGAGGGAAATTTGCATTTCAAGAGACTTGCCTTTCAACATCAATGCAGATTATTTTGGTAGATGTGAAACAAGGAAAATAGGTAGCCTAATTCCGTTTAAATAGAACGGTTTTCATTAAAGTTATACAATAATAGCAAATGGAGACTAATACTGAAAGCAAAAACTTCTCCAAGTCCTTTAAACCTTGCCAAACCAAGACCCTGAGGAATCCTATTTTCTTATTTACAAAGTTGAAATGGAAATCATATTGACTTGATTGTCTTTTGGATGTAATTGAAAAAGAAAAAAAAAAAAAAAGAAAAAGAACTTTGTAACTAGGACTGGCCAGAAATTAAGATTTCCGTTTTGCAAAGTTTTGATGTTTTGTAACGTTTTGTGTTTTAGGATGGAACAAAAATAGGACTTTTGAACTTTCTTTTGTAAAATTCAGAAAGTGACCGTGTCCCAAAATAGCTAGCAACAGATTTACCCCCCGGAAATGGGAGATTTAGTTTAAAGCCCTCTGTTTTGCATGATTTGAAAGAGGCACTTGGTCTTTACCTCTGGAGTATCATGGACACACCCTAACAGCAAAACTGTTGGTTGTTCTAGGGGTGGGGGGGAATCTTTCCCCTGTTGAAGCAATTTCATCTCAGTAATTAAATATTCATTGGGCAAAAGAGAGGGAGAGGAAGCAGAAGCTTAGAACACTTGCCTGAGTCAGGCGGAGTCAGCCTGGACCCCTCGTATTTCCGCAAACACTTTTGGTTTCAATAAATCAGACGTGTCAGATGAAAGACCTGTTTTGTTGAAAAATTCCCAGCCAACTCTGTTTATAACTCCATTCTCTCCTCCTGGTTTCCAAACCAAACATTGTTTTTGGGGGGATGGAGTCACATTTCCGCTGCAGTTTAGCATCTCCCCAACTGCACTCATTTTATCCAAAAGTTTCTAGCCAGTAGATAAAAGATGTTAGGACAGTTTCTGAGAGCATGAGGCCTTTCCAGCTAAATAAGGAACCCACAGAAATCTCACGTGTTCGTCTGACTGCAGTGCCAGCAGTCCCTACAGGTTCAAGTTCTACTGGGTTTGTCATACGTTCACATAGGGAAGTGACTCGAGACTGTGCTTGTTTCACATGAGGCCATTGCACAACCCTAGACATGAAGTATTTCAGCCATCGTTGATCCACTGCGGATTCAGATTTGAGCTATTAAAAGAATCTCTTTGAGTCGCCCAGTTTTGAATGAACAGACCCATTTCTCAAGGTGCCACCCAGTGTGTGCTGTGCATATGGAGCCAAAATCCAGCTAGTAAAGCTGATGTAGCTTGTCTTCAGCTAGCCAGTGCCTTCAAAAGCACCAGCACTTTCTTGTGGGAGGGAGATTTCCATTTCTGGGG